AAGGGCGGCATATAAATGCAATAAATCCAATCCAATCCAAGTTGGCAGAGGGAGTAAAATTAAAACTATGCAGTAAATATTTAAACTGCAATGTTTGCAATCTGGAGGAGAGCAACGTTACTCCTGCAAACAGACTGAATGATTTTAAAACAAAGGAACCTCTGGAGGTTGTTTCTGCCGAAATAATAGGACCTCAGAAACCCAGTTTGGGGGATGCCTGTTATGTTTTGAGTATCATGGATCATTATTCCCGATACGGTTTCTGTTATTTAATGAAAAACAAAACAGAAACATACCAGCATTTCTTTAATTGGCTGAGGTTTGCAGAGAGAAAGATGAAAGCCAAGGTCATTACTGTAGTTACTGATAATGGGAGGGAGTTTACCAACTATAAATTCCAAACTATGTTAAGATCAGCTGGAATCGAGCACAAACGTTCTGCTCCTTATAGGCCACAACATAATTCGTTTGTAGAACGAAGGGGGCAAACATTACAAGCCATGACTGTCTGTCTTAACTCTGTATGACTTGGACTGTTTGATGGACTCAGATATCTCTATTTCCACGAAAGTAAAAGCCTATTTAGACTGCAGAGTCTCTTTATGCTGGTTTGTGTGTTCTCCAACACAATTCTCACAACGCTTCGCTGAACGTACTCGCTCTCCCAACGGGGAACTTACCTAACAAGCAGGTTCTGACAGGTCCTGGAGAACCAGTAGCAGAAATTTTGAGTAATTCGGAGAACCAGAAAATATCACCTCTGACTGGCCCCAGAGTGGGGAGGGAATGTCGATTTTGCAGTGTCCTTCCCCTGGAGTGGGGATTTTGCAGTATCCTTCCCCTGCCACGCCCACAGAACCGTTAGTAAAAAAAAATGAATTTCACCATTGCACCATTGCTAATCAATAGTGAGCTTATTTCAAGCAAGATGAGCAAAGACTTTTGTGGCAAATAATCAGACATATAGAAGCTGAAATTGTCCAAATATCCTGAACGTTTACTTACAGATATGAGACATTGAGAGGATGTTCTGCTCGTTTAGCTTCCTCAATCTGAGCTTCACTGACATCTGTTCCAACCACCTTTTCAAAATGTTTGGCCAGGAGGATAGTATTTTGACCTGAGCCACATCCCACATCCACTCCCAGCTGGAAGCATTTCACCTTTGGAGGGAAAATTAACAATAAACCTCAAAGTCACCGAATGACTTTTAGCATCGTCTTCTTCGATATTTTACAAGAGAAGAGTTTCTTGGCTTTCAACAACAGGCCTTAAACCAATTGTTACCACCTAATTTATATACCTCTTCTTCTTGCCATTGGGGAAACTACCTTGATGTCATGGACAGCTTGCCTGAGTTCCCTGCCTGAAAGATAAAATAACTGACCTCTGGTGCCTTTTTCTTTCTAAAAATGCTTGAGGTATTATAGGATCTCAGCGGTATTTTCAGAAAATAAAAATGCTAGGCAGCCAGTCGTCTGCACATGTGGAACTGACTAAAAAGCAGAAATTTGTGCACGGCTGAGAGATACAAATGGGAGGTTATCAAGAGATTATGATCATGAGCAGGAGTGTCAAACTCAATTTCATTGAGGGCCACATCAGGATTTTGTTTGACCTGGGGGGGGGGCAAGGGGGCATAGCCAGGGTGTGTATGGCCTGCTTGACGTCACTGTGTTGGGGGCACCTGTGGTGACCCGAGCGCTCTGCCAGCAAAAATGGGGTCCCTGCAATATACATATGTTTAATCTTACATGCTGTTTTTATTGTTTGGGGGCACAGAAAACTGCCAGATGAAAGCGTGTCCCACCTTTTCGAGCAAAAAAACAAAGGATGCAGACTGTATAAATCAGGGGTGTCCAACTTGGGGCAACTTTGAGAGTTGTGGGCTTCAACTCCCAGAATTCCCCAGCCAGAATTCTGGGAGTTGAAGTCCACAAGTCTTAAAGTTCCCAAGTTTGGACACCCTTGGTATAAATGCAATATAAATAAGCAATTATTCTGCCTCAGGCTTTCACTAGCAAAAACTGCTTTATTCCAAATCAAACATTGATCTGATTATCACTTTCTCATCATTTCGGAAAGTCAACTCTGAGTGATGTTACTTGGTATGCAAAGAGCAATTTAAATATATCCCTTCTCTGAAACACAAAGTCCTCATGTTTCTAAGTGCTGAATGTTGTTTTTTTAAATTGGGGGCTCTCCACCCCGACAAACAGGAGCTATTCACACTGGAGAAGGCATTTTCCCTGCTGTTTCAGTAGGACCGTTTTCAACCCGCGACTGCATCTCTGGAAGTCCGCAATCCCTCCGCAATCCGCTCTCCCATCTTTACCTTTTTCTTTAGGAATGCGAGGACGACCGCTTGCAAATTCTCCTGAAGCGAGAACCTGTATTTCTTATAGAAAGCAACGTGATCTTCGTCCTCAAACAGGCGAGAGGCCATTTCTTAGCGATGGAAGAACTTGGAAACTTTGACAGAGAAAGACTCGGGAGTGGCTGACGTCGCCTCTGACCACCTCCGCCATTCAATAGACACACACGGGAAGGCGGGAAAACCCGGGACGGAGTTTGCGGAACGGCTCCCTTGTGCCTAAACCGGTGGGCCGCTTTAGGGCTATTTTAGCGTCGTATTATCAAATAGGATTGGTTCTCCCGAGGGGAGACAAGAACCAATGGGTGGAAGCTTTACAGAAAGAGATCCAAGTTTGAAAAAAATAATTCTTATAATCAGGAAATTATTCCATAAAACAGTGCAATTTTAAGTTGTGTGAATTATAACTCCCAGAATTCCCCAGCTTCTGGAGTTATGACTACTCCGTCATGGGAGGTTAATTCTAATTCTGATTAATTCTTATGTGTTAATACATACATGTGAAAGCCCTAAAACAGCAGTCTCCAACCTTGGCCACTTGAAGACTTGTGGACTTCAACTCCCGGAATGGGAGGCTGAGGAATTTTGGGAATTGAAGTCCACAAGTCTTCAAATGGCCAAGGTTGGAGATCCCTGCCCTAAAAGGTTGGAGATCCCTGCCCTTCAAATGGCCAAGGTTGGAGATCCCTGCCCAAGTCTTCAAATGGCCAAGGTTGGAGATCCCTGCCCTAAATCCCTGCCCTAGAAGGTTGGAGATCCCTGCTTTTGTCCGACCTAGCACAATCTAATTTCTGGGAGATCTTTGTTAAAAATCCTGCTTCAGGTTAATATAAATAAAGGTTGGCTAGCCCTTTACTTGAGATAATCTCAGGATTCCTGCCCTCAGCAGGGATTGGACTAGTTGGACTCTCAAGAAAAAAATGGACAGCCATTTGTCCAGAATGGTGTAGGATCTCCTGTCATTGGCACGGGGTTGGACTAGAAGACCTCAGAGGTTCCTTCAGCCCTTTTACTTATGTTCTAGAGGTGGGAACCTATAGTCCTTTTATGACTTGTGGACTTCAACTCCCAGAATTTCTGAGCCAGCTGGCTCAAGAATTCTGGGAGTTGAAGTCCACAAGTCATAAAAGGTCATAATTCCCCATCCCTGTTCTAGATGATCTCTGTTCTCTTCTCACCTGTGTTTCTATAATAAGGCCAAGGATGACAAAAACAAAACAAACTCTATAGCACATTCCTTTGTGGTCCTGGATGTAGTCCCCTTTGACAAAGAAAATCACACACGCTCCTTTGAGAGAAAAAATACTTTCGCTAGATGGAAAGGTTTGTTTAAAAAGGGGAGAACAAAAGATAACTTTTAATACAATAGGTAAAGGTAAAGGTTCCCCTCGCACATGTGCTAGTTGTTCCCGACTCTAGGGGGCACTGCTCATCTCCATTTCAAAGCCAAAGAGCCAGCATTGTCTAGACATCTCCGTGGCCATGTGGCTGACATGACTAAATGCCAAAAGCACAAGGAAGCCTTCCCACCAAAGTGGTCCTTATTTTTCTACTTGCATTCTTTTACATGCTTTCAAACTGCTAGGTTGGCAGAAGCTGGGACAAGTAACAGGAGCTCACTCCGTTACGCAGCGCTAGGGATTCGAACCGCCAAACTGCCAACCTTTCTGATCAAGTTGTCTCTTAACCACTGAGCCACCGCGTCCCTAATACAATAGGCCCACGCAATAGACACATGCAAATTAGCGACAATTAAGTTAAAATATTGAAGTGTTCAATCATTCTAAGCTTCATTAAGGGGTTATAAAATGGAATTTTATTAATAAATTGTGGCTTATTCTCCAGTATGGTAATACTGGTTTATATTTTTTTCTATGCATTGAACATGTTTTAGTCTTGATTGTTGTTGCTTTGCATGCATTGACAATTGTTTGACATCCTGGTTGATTCTTAGATGTTAATACATACACTGCGGAAGCCCTAAAAGATTGCTTTTATCTTAGCACAATCTAGTTCTGGAAGATCTTTGTTAAACACCCTGCTTCAGGTTAATACATTCCTTGTTTTAGAAACTCCTTGTTAGTTCTCAATATGTGAAACAGCTATCAAATGTGTTGTTATCTTGAGCAAATAGAAACTTGATTTCATACGCTGAATTGCTGTGCCATGTCAATTTTGCATCTGATGAACCGTAGCCAAAGTTTATGGGGAGAGAAAGGCTGTTTCTGTCCTTACTAACAATGTGTTAGGACCCACTGAACTCAGCGGGGCCCTCATTTTAAAAGACAAATCTGCAAGATTGCACTCCGGCCTTTTTAAAAATGGTTTTTGCTTCTTGTTTTCTTGCTTTCATGCTCTCCCCTTTTTAGACTGAATAGGTTGCACTGTAATTATTCCTGCTTTCCATGGAAACCAGCTTTTCTAAGTACTGATTACATAACCTAATTATCATTATAGTACTCAATACTCAGTGCAGGCTGTGATTGCCTGCGGCTGGTTACTGTATATACCTCTACCTTGGTTACAGAAAAAACACTCAATCCTTGATCAGGGAGGAGGCAAAAATTATAACTCTAGAGATAGCAAAAGGTGAGAGTCACAACACCACTGCACAAAGAAATAACTTCTTGGTTCCTGTTGCTATTACGTTTAGAGAAAGTGAAATACTATAAACCTATTTTAAAAATAGGATTCATGCAGCTGCTTGTGGTCAACAAATGTGACTACCAATTGGTTTTTCTAATTCAGATCATATAGCCTGTGAAGATATTAAATTTTCACATGAAAATTATACTTTTTAAAATGGACGAATAGACAAGCTTATAGCTGTTGTAGAATTCACTGTGTATTTTGATGTCGGAAAATGGATGTGGAGAGCTGACCCATTCCCACAGGGATTATGGGAATATTATATCTTGCATATTTATGTTTCTTTTTCTTCCTGAGAACAGCTGTTATGCAGACACCCAACAAGTTGTCCCAGCAAGCATGCGGGCTTGATGAACCACGGCAGATGGGTAGTAAGGAGCAATACTTTTATTTTCAAATAAAAGGTTGCCGAGGAGCAAGTTCCAAAATGGACACACCTCTGCTCAGAATGGATCTTTTTTTATAGTTTTCAAAAATATACATTGCTACAATGTGAATCAATTATGGGAGCATGCACTCCTGTAAACCAATAATAAAAAGCCACAACATCAGGGATGGGATTCAGCTGGTTCCGGCCAGTTTGCGCGAACTGGGTGTTAATTTCTATATTTTTAATTTTAAAAACTATGAGAAAAGTCACATTGTATAAATAATGCATGGGGATGGCCTTGACAAACTGAGACCTGTGCTGTCCCAGCAGTATATAGCTAGTGTAGGAATTAAGAACTGCTTCCTTTAAGAAACTACTTCATGGGAAATGTAGGCAAAGACTGCCCTATGGGAAATGTAGTTCCATATCATGTGATCACATCTGTGTTTCTGATTGGTCACTGGGACACTTTGCCCGCGTGCAGTTTATAGCCGGTCAGTTTGAATGCCTTTGTGAACCAGAATGGTAGCGTTTGTATCTCCACTCAGCATGGGAGTGAAATCATCATCTTTTTACACCATGTGATGGAACAGATTATGGAAAGTCAGAAGTATCTTAACAATGAACTGTAAGTTTTGCTATTAAGAATGCCTGATAATAAACTTGATCTGAAAAAGATTCCTAAGCATGGAGTTAACTGCATGCCTCAAGCAAGCCTACAACGCAGAACAGAACCAATCAGAAAACTACCGGTTTGCCCGAACTCGCCTGGCACAACGGATTCACCCCCTCACTGTTCTACTTACCTTTCAAGTATGCTCAGTATGATGCTCTGCACATGTGCAGAAGTTCCTCTGCATGCACAGAGGTGGCGCGTAAGGAACGGAGCATGCATGTGCACTTAGATTTGTGAACCAGTAGTGAAGGTACTGGTACTCCTTCAATATCTTGCAAAAGATTTCAATTTCAGACATCTTTGGACCACACGTGCTCTACATGGGGCAGCCCTTGAAGAGCATTCGGAGACTTCAGCTTGTCCAGAATGCAGCCGCGCGAGTGATCGTGGGTGCACCTCGGTTCACCCACGTAACACCTATCCTCCGCGAGCTGCACTGGCTGCCTATTGGTCTCCGGATACACTTCAAGGCACTAGTTGTCACTTATAAAGCCCTTCATGGAATTGGACCTGGGTACTTGAGAGACCGCCTGCTGCCAATTGCCTCCAATAGACCGATCAGATCCNCATTACACCAAATTGGCTCTCATTGTCAAACTTATTTATCCCACTCTACAATAAATCTGAGTGGTATGCAATAAAAATAGTTATAACCTCTGTTATGTTTCTGGTTTATGCCATAATCTTTTAATTTTGATTTTCAGATCTTAATGCTTTGTTATTTTCTCAACTCTTTGTCTTCTATTCCACCATTCCCTGGTATTGCCATATCAATTATCCACATTTTCTTCTTTTCAATCACAGTAATATCTGGTGTGCATTGAGCCAAGACTGTTAAAAAATCCCACATTATTTTAACCTGCTTCTTTTTTTTTACTACTTTTTCAACTCTATATTCCCACCCATGACTCATTACTGGCACATAATAATTTTTACAGATGTTTATGTGAAACATTTTGGAACCATTATTATGTCATTATTTGTGCTCTCAGTTTGTGCAATCTTCTTGCACAAGCTGAGTATATGATCTACTGTTTCTTCTACTTCTTTGTACAATCCGCACTTTGAATAATTTTATGTTGATATATGGAGTATATCCTCAGTCAAAACCATTATCTATCAATATTAATTGAAAAAGCAATTTTGCCATTAAAAGTAGGTCGTTCTATAAAATAAATACATACTTTTATGACAAATTGGAGGCATCTTCCTTATACCAAGAACATCTGGACTAAATTTTATAAATGAAAATTATTTCAGAGAAAAGTAAATTTATTATTTTACTTGGAGCAAAATTCTGGAATAAGACCTAATTATATGAAGTTTGCATATAAAGAAAGAAACATGTCAAAGTACAGAAGCCAGAATGGACTTTCAGAAGTAGAAACTGGATAGAGGCCATTCCTATAATAGGCTATATGAACCAAATCAGTTTTGAGT